CTACATAATTATACCTGCGTCTGCAGCAGTCGAAGTTTTATGATTCACTTGACAGCAGAGACACTTCACGTGTCCTCTTGAGAGTTTAAATTCAAGCAGCAGAACAAACCGTAACTATAGGAAAGATGCTCTGTAGTCAGTCAGTAGAATCAGAAAGCAAGGATCCACTTCCAAAGACCTCCAACAGTAAATGATAAAAGAGAAACACATAACTGTTTCCTCTTAGTTTTCAAGAAGGAATTTAGCAAAATATGAGTTAGTAAATTTTAACTATTATAGGTTTCCTTCTGATGTCAGGATTTCTTTCCCCCCTTTATCTTTTTTAAATACACCACGTATTTCAAGGATTTAAATTACTGTCACTATGGCCAGTCACTGCCCACTTCAAGGTTAGCTGTTATTAGAACACTTAAAATTAATAATTTTTTGCTGAAAACACACTTAGGGGTTGAGGATAGGGAAGGAAATGTTATGGGGACAGGTGCTATGGAAAAGTGAAAAAAGGTAAGGAAAAACCAGAACTAATAAAACCAACAAAATCCATCAGCAGTAATCTCATACAACATAGCCCTTAATAAGGAAGTTGTGTTAAGACTTGTTACAGGAAACAACTAATCTGAGCTTCCATACATGTAACCATGAAAAAAAAAAGTCTCCATCTTATTTCTTATAAAATAATGCAGATGAGCGTTGTTCTACACAAATTAGAAAAGTCCCTGTTGGTCACTGTAAATTCCTTCTGTAGAAAAATACTTTAAGAACTTTAATTTTGATAGATTATTTCATTTGGTTAGTTACTGACCAGACAAGTACTTCACAGAGGGGAAAACCCACTGAAGATGAACACTGAAGGTCCATTGTAAAAAACTACTACTGAAGAGGCAAAAGTAAAACAAGAGTTTCAGGTCAGACACTCAGGTGATGTGTACTGAAGTCAATGGCGCCATGTGGGGCTAGCTGAAGATTATCCCTGTATTTTTAAAGTGATAAACATTATTTTCCATAGTAGGACCATAATACCAAAGCACGTCCTCCCCTCTCTACCAACTAAGCACTTAACGTTGCATCAAAAAAATAAACACACTTGAAATGCAAATTAAAACCCATCTTTAAAAAGGAGATGGTTCAGCTACTAAACCAATGAGTATATTTATTTACGGTCTACGAGTAGAGCAAGATAAACATCTTGCAGCAACTGAGAGATCAAAGAAAGAGACCATAGCATGTGCCTATATTTACCTCAGGTAATCTCTGCGGCAAAGAATAAGATTTGCTTTCGTGTAAAGAGTTGATCCAACCTCTCCAAGACGGCAGTCACAGCAGGCACACTTTAGACAGTCTTCATGCCAGTACTTATCCAGGGCCTTCAAAAGGTAGCGGTCCTTGATCTTTCGGTTGCAGCCAGCACAGCCCTTCTGTTTCCCTTTGGGTTGCACAGATAACATTGGCACACCTATAACAAAAACCAAGCCAGAGTGTTTAAGTCTGAAGGTATTTAGACAGTTTAAGTTGGTGCCCTGCATTGCTGAAGTATGTTCCACGATAGTTATAAATGGTGTAGAACAGGGCTGTCCAGCTGGTGGCCCGTGGGCCTGTGAGGGGTTATGTTGAGGCCCCCAAGCTCCTGCCTGGCCATTGCTCTCCACACTGCTCCAGCTGCAACAGCAGCTAGAGCCTCAAATCCTCCCCCTTCCTCTTCCAGTCTCTCTTCTCTTCCTACCCCTGCCCCAGTGGGGAGGGAGGCTGCATGGGCACACAGCCCAGCATGGAGGCAGGAGAGGGTGCATGGAGGAAAGGTATCTTGTGCTGCAGTGGAGTGGGAAGAGGGTCAGCACTGCACAGCAGCGGGGAGGGCAGAGGGGGACAGCACAGGCAGGCAGTGGAGTGGTAGAAGGGGTAGGGCTCGCATGGGCATGTGGTGCCACAGGAGGTGGAGTTCCACGTGGCGTGTGGCCTGGGGGCCCACAGCCCACCCTGGTGCAGCCTGTAGGTCTGCAGCCCCCAACTGCTTAGAAATTTGGACAACCCTGGTATCGAGTACCTTCTGTGATCACTGTATAAATGTATGGCCTGTTAGAACTTGCTGAGCCTACGTCCTGTGAGGCTTTTGGTCTTAAAAAATCTATGCTCATAGGAGCATAGATTTCACCTCCCAAAAGACGTTCACCTGCAAAGATGCAGCAGACATATGCCAAATATGGAGCTGATGCTGGCATTGTGCTTTTTGATTCCAATTCAGAAAAAAATTAAACTGTCTGCTATTTATCGGGTTTTTTCCTCATTAGAATGACACCAGGGTATTACATAACTTAGGTAATGAAAACAAGGTAACCATACTATGAAGATTAGAATGGCAACTACTACACATGCACCAAAGCCTCAAGGTGGACCCACAGTTGGAGGGGAGTTTAATGGTGGGACAGAACAGAAAGGAAAACAAAGGAAGCGGCACACTACCCCTCGATTCCTTTGCAACCCCTCTACCACAAGGCTCCTGGTGAAAGCTGGTGTAACAATTAAGCCTGTGTGAAGCGGCAAGTATTTGATTTGGATTCGGCCAATTCGCAGGGACAGTAATTCAATTCAGCAATTCAAATCACTGTCCTGATTTGATTTGGCTGATTCGGATCCAAAGATTTAGTGCCAATTCAGAGATTCGGCCATAGAGTAAACGGGCAGCAGTCCTTGAGGACTCTAGACACAGCTACCTCCAGCTGGTAAGTCTGTTGTGGTGGGCAGAGTGGGGAGGGAAGGGGCATGGGGGGTACAGATCAATGCCCCCACAGTGAGGGAGGGATTGGGGCTGGGACAAGCTGCCCAGGTGGGGGGAGGGGGGGCACAGGCAGAGCCATCTCTAGGGGTGTCTGGGGCATATCAGCCTCTGTGGAGTCCGGGGAGGGGGCGAGCCGCTAGAGGAGCTGCCGGAGCCAGCGGAGTAGGTGGGCGAGCGGCCAGAGCTGGCAGTGCACAGTGGCAGCAGAGCCGGAGGCACTCAGCAGCGGCGGCACGTGTTGGCCATGGCAGGGCCTATACAGGACTATCTGCAGGGCCCCCCAAAGCATGGGGTCTGGGGCAGTTGCCCTGATTTGCCCCCCCTTCCCAGGGATGGCCCTAGGCACAGGTCTCGGGGAGGGGCTCTCTCATCACTGTGCGTGACTGGTCTGGGAGGGCATGGGAGCAGGTGTGTGCCCCTGGATCTGCGCAGGGTGGGCTGCTGAATCGGGCTGAATCTCCTCCAAACTGAATCAGCTACCGAAGCTTCGCACAGCCCTAGTAACAATTATGCTCTTCTAACCCCTCCTATCCAAGGCATCCCAATGGTAACTGAGATTAACAAGGCCACAATGATTTTTAAACCATTTGCCCTGACAAACCTTTGAGGCTGCCTATATCAGGGGTTACCTGGATGTTTCCATATAGCCAACAAAGCACAACTTTTTTCTCCTGTTTGTGCCATTGGAGAAGGACCAACATCTAGATCAGTGGGGGCCAACATTTTTGGCAGGCATGCCACAAATTAGTTCCATATCCTCCCTGAGTGCCGCTATGATCCCCTTCTACCCAACCTGCTGCTCTTCTTTCTGCTGCCTACCCTGTACTCCCTGCCTGATGCACTGTTCTGCTTTCTGCTTCTTCCCTACCTGCTGCTGTGCTGCCTTTCATCTTCCTCATCTTCTGTGCACCACACACAAGACCTACCTATGCCACTTGGCAGGTTGGTCACACCTGACCTAGACATTCAAAAACTAGAAATCCCAACTATCTTGCAAAAGGGAGTGCAAAAAGTCTTGAGACATGAAACTAAGCTAGCTGGCCTAGAGCAGGGGCTGAGTTTTCAGTTAGGGGTATCTACGGAGAAATCAGTTTTTGGCCAGTAGGACCCTGCATGGGCACAATGTCACCAAGAGCCTATTTGAGCCCTGCCCCCAAGCTGGGAAGATGCCATGTCTCTGGATGCTTCTTTTTCAACTTTCCAGTAATCTGCTCCTTCCTAATGTTTCCAACTTTTATCCAGCCTATATGGCTCTCCTTTTTAGGGTTTCTTTATCCAGAAGTTCAGAAAGGAAGTAGGTCATCTGTTGTCTTGCAAGTACTGGCGAATGAGCCTAAGCCCCACACCCTCTCAGTATCACAGAGGAAAGGGAGGGAATCATTTTGACACCCAAGGATGCTATTCTGAGTCTGACAGAGAAAAGACAACAAATGGTTATGGGGTTGATCATATGCAACGATCCAACTGGGGGTCCAGAATGCAATTTTACTTAAAGCTTCAAAATTTCTACTGTTGGCTTTGCACTTTTCACGATTTCATCAAATGCAACCAGGATGGACCGCCGCTGCAGTACACACTTGGCCTGGCTGAAGCTGAGGAAATATAGCGTTAGTGGTTCTGGCTGTAGCAGCAGGCGACACAAAATCTGCCCTCGTACAGTTTTAGAAGACAATTTTGATAACAAGCTTTATGTCCTAGAAAAAAAGCAGCATTATAATGGAATTATTAACAGCCCCTTAACCAGAGTGATACTAGTTACTGCTGCTGTAATAAGTGACATTTGCTGCTTTCCTTAAAAGCAAGGATGACCTGAGGGTGCCTAACACTCAGCACATGTAAAACCCACCACTCTTTCAGTAATAATTGCTTTGTCAAAGCTGCAAACAGATGACAATAGCACTTAAGACACTTCTACAGGAACAGTGAGGTATCGATCCATTTGTTATGGAAGTGGTCTCACTATTACAGAGACAGGTCAAATAACATTCCAAAACTTTTAAGACTTAAAGAACCTTCCTACTCAACTTGCTTAGTTGATATCAGCAAACTTTTGACACTGATGACAAATGCATGTATATGTGAAAATCTAAATTTCTGGTCAATCATGACACATAGTGCATACTGCCACTCTGAAATATAACAGTGTCAAGCTTCCCAGAAGTAGGGAGAAACAGTTTTGAACAAGTATGCACATTTTCCTGTAGAAGTCTCAAACAAAAAACACCCCAAAACCTAGTTTTGTTTGTTTGTTTGTCTGGGTTTTTTGGGGGGAGGGAGTGGGAGGGAGGAGGAAATGATATGGAGGTTTCAGAAACTGAACCTTGGGATCAAATTTCAGAAGCAGTGTGATAAGGGGAGGCTCACTAGAAGAGTCAGGAAGCGACTCCCTGGGTTCTGCACACAGCATTTCCACATGGTCCATTTCTGGAGCAGGGAGAAGCAGCTCCACTTTTCCAGGCCTCTTTTTTTAAATGTTTCACATTAAGACATTACCATATGCCATCTCAAATCCCACACCAGCAGCTTAACACAATAGGCAGAAAGATCTCAATAACCTGTCAGGACAGAGAACTCTGCACATATGCATTTGTACTGTACAAGTCTATTTCAATCGTAATATTAAAGAAACATAGTTTTGCTAAAGTCTCTCTCTGACTCTCAAAAAAACCCTAACAATCAGGTTCTCCCAGAGCTGAAAGCTGTCTTAGAAGATCCTATCCCTAGAATAGAAAACAGGATCTCTAAGTACTAATCATGCAATCTAAAATGTTGAATTCATCAAGCTTGTTACATAAAATTCAAGTTTCTTATGGTCAAGTCACACAGTAGATTCATTATTTCTGAAGTCTGGAGAGAAAACTCAGTGAACAATCTTATGCATTAATATATGGGTACTTCAATTCCAAGAGGGAAATAAGAAGGTTGTGAAAAAAAAAAGTTGGTGAGGTAACAAGTTATCTAACTTCAACCATCTCTCAAAAAGCTTTAATTTCATTTACCACCCAAACACACATGGAACGATTGATTTTCCCATATTTTTTCCCAATATCTCATTTGCATGCTCTTTAAAATGGCTGCCTCAAAATCCTCTATTGTCAGCGCCACCCCGTTACCTGGATAGAGAGCAGGGAGAAACATTCATTCCAAGACTTTGAGGCAGGAGAACTTAAAAAAAAAAAAAAAAAAAATCAATTAAAAATACCTACTGCTTGTTCAGCTGGCAAGTCATGCAAGGGAACAGAAAAAGTTAAAACTTGACAGAAGTTTAGATTACTCTTCTGCCATGACAAAGAACTCTTGTTTAATGATACCCTTTTTTACTTCCTTCAATACATAGCATGTTTGTCCATGACAAGGATTCAGTAGAGAGAGAGAGAGAACTATCATTTTTCCCCTTCAAGCTGACACATACAGTCATAGTCTAGTCGGAGCAAGTTTCCTGGGCAAAGAATGACATCAACTTTTTCACTATGGCAGAGAAACCATTTACTTTTCATAGGATACAAGTTCATTTGGAAGCACAAGTACCATACCTGGGCCTGGCAGAACCAAAATCAGCAGCTCAAAACTAATCAGCCCTAGTTGCTCCCTAGTTCTCCCTAGTTGCCTTTACTTCTTTAGAGAAGCCCCCCCCGCCCCTTCTTGTAGTTACTGATAACCTAAAACTTCAGTTTAGCAGT